ATAAATATATATATATACATATATAAATATATATATATACATATATATAAAATATATAAAATATATAAATAGAAGAAAAAAAAAATTTTTCCCGAACGCCGTTTATAGGCAGAAAGAAATGTGGGTTTGTTTGTTCTGCTTAAATTCAGACGTGCTAATAGAAATACAATTAATAATCAAAATGTTTTGCTTTCGTACTTGAAACATAATAGTAATAATCATAATAATAATAATATAAGTAAGTAATGTATAAAAATACAAATTCTTTGGGGCTAAATCTATTACTGGCAAACCCATGACAGCATTGCATTACTTTTAATATCTAAGATAACCCAATAGTAAAAAAAAAATTTTAAAAAGAAAAACGTATGCAAATTTCATCTTATTCTAGAGCGATAAACCAATTTTTGGCCTCCCGAAAAAAAATAAAATAAAAATAAAGTAGGTACATTTGTGTGAAGACACACACATATGCATATGCAATTAGGTACGATTACGTGGTTGACTATTTCTGTTTCTCGAAATTAAGAGAGCGTGGCATTAAAGCCAAATTCTTAAGGCAGGCATGAGCCTGTTGCACCATGTACTGTTGATCTTTGGTCTGACCACAAGCCAGCTTTTCCCATTTAGGATCCAAATATTGCGGGCCATTACGAGGGCGTAGCACTCCGCTAACGCCACCCATATTATATTCAGGTTGGTTCTCTTTTTTGGCCTCATCGTCTTTCGCATCGTCGGATGGCAATAGGTCTGCCTCACTACACAAGGTATCCTTCATAATAGTCGAGGGCGAAAAAGCAATGGATTCACTGGATGTTAGAAATTTGCTGGGCGTCTCGGTTTCAAACGGCACCGGTTTCTTCTCTATCTTCATGTTATTATTCGAACTGTCATTATTATTATTGTTGTTGTTGTTGCAGTTACCGTTAGTGGGCATTATATTTTCCCCCCAACTGGTGATGAGAGATTTGCGAGCTTTTTTGGTTGGCGGTGGTAATTGCGAATTAGAACAAGAACCGATTGTCGGGGCAACAGGTATATTTTCTTTTTTGTTTGCATCTGCTTTACTTGGCTGATTCGAATCATTCAATTGATCTTCATGTATAATTTCAGCTAAATCCTCAACTAAACTGGAAGGACTGGGTGGAATGTAGCGTTCACCACGACGTTTCTTACCCAATGCAGCTAATGCATCCTTGAAAGGTGTAGGGGTCCTAGGCCCCAAAAGACCTGTAAAAAGCAAAAGCGTATTTTTCTTAATCGTCTGTTGTAAGCATTCATTTATTTACTTACTTTTGTGTGGAGTTTCTATAGAAGAATTCTCCAGTTCCGTTTTAGCTTCTGTAGCTAATTGATTTGCATTCTTTGTAACAGGTGTACTAGCGCATAAATTCATATCTTCGAATGTGGTTAGACAAGGAGAGTTTAAGAACTGGCTTGGAGAGAAAGGCAAGGGTTTGATAGGCGTTATCACCGGAGAATCAGGCAATTTGACTGTTGGCTTGACTTCAACCAAGTCTGTTTTGTTTGGACTTTGCTGCTGAGCTTGCTGTGGTACTGGCTGCCTTACTCTTTTCAGTATATTCGGAGTAGATCGTGTCGTGCCAGTTTGCTCAGCATTTGTTTGGATAGTGGACATTGACTCTTGTGATCTTTGTAATATTAGAGCTGATAGGGACAACCCTAGTGATATATCGCTTGTGGCTTCTGACTTAATAAGATTTCTCAAGTGATTGCGCGAACTCCTTAAATCGTTAATCTGCCGGGCAACTTTGCGCTCGTTATCGTAGTATTTTCTGCGCATACTTGAATTCCAGTGGTTTTTAATAGCATTGTCTGTGCGACCAGGCAAAAGTTTCGCAATTTTAGCCCACTGATTACCCCATTGCAAATGAGCTTCGTAAATAATGCGATCTTCCTTTTCCGTCCAAGCGGTCTTTTTAATATTCGGATTGAGGTGATTATGCCAACGTTCTCGGCACTGTTTACCGATACGACCGTTTAGAAAACGTGCTATCAATGTCCATTTTTTAGGCCCAAAGCGTCTTACTAATTCCATGACCTTCTCGTCCTCTTCTCTTGTCCATGGGCCCTTAATAAGTTCTGGATTTAGAACGCGGGCCCAACGTTGTTGCACTTGAGGCTCAGTACGTTCTCTAAAATGTGGAGCTATAAGGTCCCAACGATCTCCATGCTGCTCTACTAAACTTTTAAGCAAATTATCTTCGGACTTGGACCATCTTTTACCATAGCCGTTACCGCTGCTTCCTGCATTACGTGAGCTGATACTGCTTGCATCATCGTCATAATTTCCATTATCAGAATATTCGGATTCACAAGACTCACCACTTGCATTATCTCTAGTTTCGATTTCAACTTCTTTACCACAAGCCTCATTACCATCATATTCTATTATATCCATAGTTTCGTTGCAGACGATCTTTTAACGATTCTCTCCACGTTTCCAACGCAAACAATTGTGATAATAATGTATATGATGATTTTTATTGTCAAAATACTGATGAACTTTACCTTGACAATATAAACAGTTAGAATAATAACGTTCGTGAAACTTTTCACTGTAATGCTCGTAGACTTGCAGCAAAGAAGTGCATTCGAAAGTTTCTCCGCAACTTAAGCAAGTTAGATGATCCGAAGACTGGAGGACGTCTCTTAAGCGAAAATGTGTGGCATCATTTTCCGTACGGCCCTGATCTAATGATATTTCATTAGCTAATGTTGTTGTTGTTGTTGTTGCTGTTATTGACGAATGTACTATAGTGGTGTTTTGTCCTCGTACATCAATGTTGTTGTTATTGTTATTTAAGTTTCCATTTTCGGCCATTAAACGCAAGCGTAACAACCCCAATTACACATAATAACATACGCTTACTGCGACAACCAAGTGTAAAGGAACTTTTTAATAAAAAGCACAACACAACACAATTGATCAATGCTGAAAATTCTTTTTACGTTGTTCTTTGTTTATCATTCACTCTATTAACTCAGCTTGACTGTTTGTATCTACTTCCCTTGCAAATTCCAAATGCAATTTATATTTCACACATACCTCTGCCAACGATGTTTTATAAGGCGCGTCTGGTGTTTGCTGTGCGTGTGTGAATTTTTCAGTTTAGTATTAACTGCAGGCGGCCTTTGAGACAGCTGGTGCTCTATCTAACCGCACGCTATACAACAAACAGAGAAACTATCGTTTTCGACCGAAAATCAAAAAGTTGTAATTATTACAAAATTCTCATAAATTATAATTACGTTTTTTTGATAAGTGCTTTCATTTGCAATTTTCTAGTTTAATTTACGAATTTATTGCGGCGATTATTAGAAAATAAACACAAAAACCGAGAACAACCTCGTCGTTAAACCGTTTATTATCGAATTTCTCAGATGGCCATTTTGAAATTTAGGTTTGCTATCATTGTACTGCCAATACTCATCAACTTGGCAACATTGCTCTCAACTCTTCATCTATGCATATATATGCATATATATATATATAAATATATAATATATATATATTTAATATGATTGCTACAAAATTCTTTAGAATATGGCAGCACTTTACTCTCCATATGAGAGAAGTTTTAGACCGTTTCAAGTATACGTTTAAGGCAGTTTACGATATTCTTTTAACGTCGAATTTTTACAATTTTCAGCTTTCAATGCATTTTCTCAATATATAAAGTGAACCAATAGCAGACCTAAAATACTTTTTCCTCACTTAGAACAGTATACTTTGAGGGAATAATTTTATTAAAATATCTCTTGAATAAATTTCTGCACTTTAAGTTATTTTTATTTATTTTATCCATGTTAGTGTTGTTCTGCCGCAATCTATATCAAATTCATTCTGGCTTAGTACTTCCAATTTGGCATCACTTTGGGAAAACACATTTTTCTTTTGATATCGAAATAAAAGTAATGGGAACTTAAATTTACTAAGAATGCTTTGCAATTAGAAAAAGTATTACGTTCTTTCTGTAATCTGAGTTATTTCTGTTAACAGGGATGGCAAATAATATTTTTCGCCATCAACCTAGAGATGGCAGAATACAAGCGAAGTCATTTAATTTGAATTTGAAAAGCATCCTTTCAAAGATGGTAATTGGTTTATTATGTAACTTCTTCCATGCCGAATGTGAATGAAAGGGAATCATTATATAATTGGTAGTTCGATTGATTACATAACCCTCATGCGATTCATGCTCGATTTACACGTAAAAAAGATTATTTAATTCTCGTTGTCAATTGTACTCGCTTAGGAAAGTACAACACGATTCCTTAATTAGAGTATAATCACACAAATTATTTTTTTCTTTATGCGGTATACACATTAAACTTAATTAGAATGAAAACAATGAATAAGTGGAAATTTTTTTCTACGATGCGCGCACTCATTGTTTTACTTTAATGTTGGAAGCTAGTACATAAGAAAAGATTTTTATATACTCTTAAAATCTCCAAGTGAACTTGGAAAACGAATGAGAGAAACCACAAGTCGCTGGCAATCGCCATAGAAAAATGTGAACAAGACGTATGGAAACATAATGGTTGTCAGTTTTGACGATTGCTTGCAAAGTGTTGGCACTGTTGTACTGTACAAGAATATGGGTACAAGTTTCAACGATGGTACGTTACGACTTATTGTATATACGTCAGATGAATGGATCTTCGCTTTATTTTAAGTCGTTAAAAAAATTGATTGCTTTTATTGAGTGCCTTCTTTTCCTGAAATCGGAATAATTTTATGCACACATGTATGCGTTTACTTCACACAATAAGCAATTTTGATAACAGAGAAGAAGAAGTGAATGAAAATTTTATATTATTAGACGAAGACTTTCTAAAAAATAATTCGCTCTATTCATATATGTACAATGTTACTTCGACCGGAATGCCCACCATTTGCGAGATTGTGAACAAATTTTTAGTGTTTATGATGACTTTTCAAAATAGGGTTTTACATGGCACATGGTCGAAAAGGTGTTTCGATTCGAGTCATTATCAAGAGCGTTCATTTTTGGACCAAGGCACACCAACGTGAATAAAATTTTAACAAAAGATTTAAAAAATTACCATCTATAGGTTGACAACAATACAGGACGAATAGATGGATAGGCAGAGAGGCAAGCTTAGAGCGATTCAAAAAGTGATCGTGAATCGTTCGGTATAATAAACCATGTGCTTACTTCAAATCTTTCTGGATGTTGTATACATCCGCACAAATTTAATATACCATTTATCACAAGTAATGTACGTTAATTTCTGAAGCGTTCAAAATCGACGAATAATAGAAAAGATGACATCTTTCATGACGCCAAGGTCGGGCGTTACTTGGGAAGTTTTTAGGCAAATACTATAGAAGCCGGCTTTGCCGCGTAAAAATTTATTTGTGACAGTAATTCGATATAAAACTCGATTAGGACAAACTTGAACCAAATGGATCTATTTCTTGGATTCCATCCCATATAAGTTTTCTCATGAATAGCAAGCCCTTCAGCATCAGAGGATTTAGCAAAAAAAAGTGAACGAAATGAACGATAGGCAATTGGGAACAGGTAAGCGTATATTTCACACCCTAACATGTATTAAGGTTAGCATGAAAGGTAAGCCCTTATGTGAAGAGAAGGTTCTATTTCGGGTTTTTTATGACGGAAGTTGAAAAGTAATAAAATTTTCAAGATGTAAATTAAGTTCAGTTCAGTTAAGTTATGCTTTTACATGCCGGGAGTGACGGTGAATTCTGACTGCTGTGTACGGTCTTTCGTGGAATATTGTGGTGGCTCTGGTTAATCGAAAATCGCGGCAGCTATAAATAGTGAAACGCCATAAGGGCCTTGAACATTGCCTAGAGTGCGTTTAATGGCCTAACATTTCAAGTCATTGCCGTACTTCGAGCGTAATGATTGCTTGTGAGATGTCGGTGCCGCAGTGATAGTATGTCGCATGTGCCTAGAAATACTCTGGGGAGAGAAACATTGGGAAGCATCGCAATGGTTGTAATTAACTTAAATATGCGGGTGCTATAAGACCAGATAGGCCTCGAACGTTCTCGACAGTAGCTTTAATCGTCGTACACTTGAAATAAATCTCATAATTCGGGCGCAGAGTGGTCCCTAGAGCAGAGATTGCAGCATTCAATGGAGACCGCCGATTCACCGATAAAATAATCCATTAATCATGCCACTAAGGCATCACATAATGTTGCGAGTCCCCACGCATACACGATATTCCTGACTCTTAATAGTCTTTTATGCTAAATATAATTTAGTCGTTCAGTTGTTAGCTACGATATGATTGATGCCATCTATGCTTCAAGATGAAAATATGATATCGAATATCATATATCAATGATAAATTATACTAACTAACGTACGGTTTTCATTCTGCAATCATAGATCGCTTAAACGCATACTGTCTTGTATTGTACTGAAAACTTAACGTAACTTTGTTTAACTTTTCCGAGTAATTGGCCTATAATTACGTAATGCGTTTATCATTATTTTTAAGGGATTAATCCTTATCGAGTAGAGTATATCGTGGATGTGAATATATATGATGAGAAAGGCATTGTGTAATTGCAGATTAATATCTCGGATGTGTTGGCATCTGGTTGTAGACGAAGACGTAGACAGTGTAAGACTAAATATGGGTCAAGAGTTGAACATGTCCTTTAGTTAGGTAGGTAAGTAGGTAGGTAGGTAGGTAGGTAGGTAGGTAGGTAATGTTCAGGCAAGTTATTAATTTATACATGATTGAACTTGAGATATTGAATCAGGCTTGCTTAAGCTTGGCTATGCTTAAGACGGCATGATCATCATCTTTAGAAGATTTCCGGATAAAAAATGACACTTGAAAGCAATTATTTTACTTATGTTTTTTTTTTTTTTTTTTGCTTATTGATTTTAATTAAAATTGATTTACGATTATTTATTGATTATTCACTTGTGTGGATTGTTAACTAAGTATCACCTTAACCTTGTTTTGTTTAGTTCGCTTAATATCGTTAAGCATTTTAGTAATTTTGCTTGATGGACATAAATTTGTCACAAACTTTATCACTATTAATAATGTGTATATATATATATATATATATATATATAGTATAATACATGTCTGTATAGCTATAACTTTGTTAACAAGGCGATTAAGCAAAACTTTCCTTTGCTTTTGAGACAAATGAAAGAAGAAATGCCTCTCAAATTGAAAGATTATATAGAAAGGGGTGAATATAGGCTAAAAAGAAAAGAATTATATGTACAGGTGTATGTATGTACATTTATGCGTATTCGGATATATATATTGATTTATATTGGCAGCATTAACAAGAGAGAGAGAGAGAGAGAGAGAGAGAAAGAAAGAGAGAAAGAAAGATAGGCCACGGAAACAGGTCAATTAAGTTGCTGGCCATCTGTCATCTATTAACAACATGTCAAAATGTTGTTTTGCTTAAAGAGGACGACTTGCATGCTGCATACACAACTTGAATGTATGTTATATTGTTGTTGCGTACACAGACGACTCTTTGTCGCAATCAGTAGCAATAGTAGTAGAGATGGATGGAAGGGGAGGAAAAATCTTTGCCATTCAGTTAATCTCGGGCTGTCTTTAGAGCGTTGATGCTTCAATCTCTAACCGCAACAAAGGCGCTTAAACAGCGTGTAGTTGTTGGTAATTTGCAGCATGTGGTGGTTTGTATTTGCTTTGCTTTCATACGAATTCCATTGAGATTTGTAGAGTTAAAAGGTAATACAAAATCTATTAGCGCACACTTTTATCCATGCTTTTGCTTCGCCCATCTCCCCCTTCCCCCCCTTTCTTTTACGATCTTTC